GAATGCCTTTCTATTTATCAAATTATTGCTAGTGGAAATGAACTTCAGCATTAAATACTCGCATTTGTCTTGACATTAAGTATAAGCTTTTACAAATTCGTGATGTGTGTATCTTTGTTGTTAAAGTTTTTAGTAACAATCTTATATCGTTCAATGTATTCTGGTATTTAACTACAAACGCATATCGAACTGCTCACTCTAGTAGATGGATTCAAAGGAACAAGAAAAAAAAATGCTGTGCTACAATACTTGTCCTTTCCACATCATATTCTTCCTCCTCACAGATTTCTTCTTCAATTCTTCTTCCTAACCCCCACCCTAAAAAAAACTGATCCAAATTTACACCAGAAGCAGATATATTCTCAATTCAATTTACTTTAGCGTACTTGTCTTTCAACAGTGGCATACTTCTGATATTGAAAGTCTTTTTAGATTCTTTTATTGGAAGTTTTACTACTAAATATTTTGGTGAACGTCGCGTAGATTTATTATTTTATTGGATCTTTCTAAATTTCATCCTTCTGTTATATAGTGTTGTGCTGTTCCTCAAACTCGGGCTCTGAATTATTTCGTGATCGAATGGCGAATGCCGAGCGATCTACACAATAAGGAACACTTGCAACAACGTTAACTCACTGAGGGATCCGTAGATGGCCTGATGCAGTGTAAATTTTCTGTCCCTATCCAACATACCATCCGTCCTGATTGTGCATGACACATTAGCTACTGAACTACATCAAAAAGCAAGCAACAATCAATTAATTCATCAATACAAACGAATTTGTTAAGGTCTTTCGTAATTTTCTGTTTTAAAAACCGCAAGTTTGAAATAATCATAATTTTACTATTAATATAGAACTACATGATAGTTAAGAGTCGCATTTAGTCAAACTGTTCAAATGTTTATAATTTTACGTAAATAATGGTTGTAAAAACGTAACAATTACATTTTGTGATATCTATTTTTCAGCTTGACAGTGTAAAGATATCAAAACGTAAAAATAAAAGGAGACAAAGTAGTTAGAAATATAGATTTCACCACTGCAACAAGTGTGTTTCGATATTTCTCCACTCGAGACAGTTAAATTTTAATATTTAAAGCGCGAGGCTTACCGAGCTTTTTAAATATTTTAAATTTAACTGTTGAGAGTAGAGAAATATCGTAATACACGAGTTATAGTGGTGGAATCTGTTTCTCTAACGATTCTTATCCTTCCTTTTCAAAGATTTGCAGAAAATTGTGTTCTTTATATGTGACGTCATCAGGCATGGTCGCCTTTTTTCATGACGTCACAATAGGAAAATTAAGAAGAAACCAAGAAAATTTGACGTCATAATTAAATTTCGACCAATCATTTGCCGAGAACAAATTTTTCACTAGTGAGGAGAAATATTTTTCTCACACCGGTCAAGAAATGTGAAAATAGCACAAAAATTAGAGAAAGCTTGTTCTTGTAAAGAAAAGCTCTAAGGCATGTGACATGTTTGATCATATGAAACAATTACTTGAGAATTTTCCGTCCCACCAATTTAGAGCTTACTGGCAGTCAAAACAAATGAAAACTTTGATTAACAATTTACTAGCACGCATTTTGTTGCAATCCATGATTTCTCCGAAAACTATAAATGCACAGAACAGTGTGAAATCTAGTCTTCTTTTTTCAAAAAAACAAGAAGTTTCTATTCATGTGACAATTTTACATAGACACGCGATTTTGGAGTATGACGGAATAGATAGTAATGAAAATGACCCAAACATTATTACAGAACATTTTCTTGTAATCAGTCCAGACCAGAAGCATGATCACCATTTTACACATGAGGTTCAGAAGTTAATTCGTGATTACTTAATATCGATATCAAGCGACGTGTCTGTCATGCACGAGTTTACCGACGGGTGTAGTACGCAGTACAAAAGTCGTCACTGCATAGGAGATATCAGTTATGGATGTTCCGATTTAGAATATGACAAAATTGTTAGGATTTTTTTTGAAACTTCACATGCTCGTGGACCTCAAGATGCAGCCGGTGGTTTTATCAAAAAGCAAGCCGACTTGTCTATCATCCGTGGGCAGCGTGTGATACAAAGTGCACGAGATTTATATTACTTTGCATCAGAAAATCTTTGCAAAACTGCTGAGGATTCGAATTGTTCACGTAGGATTTTTCGATATATAGATACGATTAATCGAAACCGTGATCGATATTTCAAACCCGTAAAAGAGAACAGAAAAATTCACCAGCTATGTTCTTCGAAATCAGCAAGAGTAGAAATTAGAAAGCTGTCCTGCTACACGTGTGAAAATTGTTTAAACACAGATTACAATGATTGCTTGAATGTTGATCAAATTGGTAACTTTTCAATTTTAAAAATGATCAAAGAAAACGCTGATCAGGAATCAGAAGATGAAGAAATCGCCGATGAAATTGAACAACTCTTCGACCTTGTTTCTATCGGTACAATTTTTGCCGTTAAAGCAGACGATGTTAATCAGCCTTATTATTTAGTAAAAGCCAACAAACAGACGACTGTTCTACGCAAACAGTCAACGAACAAATGGGGATTACCTATCTACCCGGAACAAAAGTAATACATGGATATTATTTTGGCATTGTAAACGACAATCCACTTCAACAAAAACTCATAAAACGTATTCCCGCTATAGTTCCTACGCTTTCTGTGGTGTATATATGTTCGGAACTTGAACTTAGTGACGATGGAACAATTCATATTGACAATTCCCTCCACAGAAGTATACTGCGCTGCCTCGATGAGTGAACAGTCAAATAAAAGTTTAAAATATGAGTCAATAAAGTTTGAAATACTTTAAATATATCTGTATTTATTTAAAACGGGGAGTTAAGGTCCAATTTCACTTCTTTGTGACTATGATTAAAAATGTATTCATGCTCCGAATTAAGCCGTGTATTAAATATTTTTAAAACATGAAATGTTAACTAATCACTCCCAAAATCGATGTTCAATAAGTTCAATTGGTCATATTACGAAACTTATGGTATATAAAAAATAAGACAATTAACAATAAGCCGCCTCGTCAATTACAAATACACGTAATCTCAAAATGTAATAATTCAAGTAGTGAAAAAGAAAAAAAAAAACAAACAATTTGCTTGCAGACAAACACCGTCTGAACGTCAATTTTAATTACAAGAAAATATCGTCGTTTAAACGTTTGTGGACTCAGCTTTGTGCACGCCGTCTAACTGTACGTAATGTTCTATTAGTTACAACTGGATCATACCGACATAAACATAAATAAAACGAAATGTTGAGTATGTGAAGACATCGACCCAGCAACGAAAACAAACACTGTTTAGTTGTGTTTTATAACTTATTTTAAGGCCTATCTCTGAGTGTGACCTGTTGTAATGAAGCATTCAGCACCGGAATTTAGCCGTTTAAACGATATATTTGACCCCGGTCATCCGAATTATTGTAAATTCAGAAATTATTGCGAGGTTTTTATTAATGCGAATAATGCGACTTGGTGATTATCGCAAAATAAGAACTTGCATTCTGATATTTTCCTGAAATCGCAATAATCAATCTCGCCTTATTATCCGATCTTCAAAAATCACAATAATAAATGCACACAATAATTTCTGAATTAACAGTATCCAGTAACATTCCCTTTCTGTTACTGCAAATACACAAAATAGAAATGATACTTACACTTATGTAAAATTCATCGTACCTATCTTATTCACCAGCTGCATATTTCGACAGTTAATGTTTCTTCGGTGATACTGAAGAGATTGGGAGATCTAATAATATTTCAAACGTTTACTTTTGTTATATATTCCTTTGATTTGAGGACATTATAGCTTAACTTTAAGCTTATGTCTTATCTTATGAACAACCTTGGAACTTGCAGATTGCCTTGAATTTGTATAGCTTTAATAGTTTTTATTCTACACGAGATCATAAAGTAAGCAATTTTTTTAATGCTAAAATCCGGATTGGGTCATTTCTTGCAATGATGCTGTCACGATTTCATCGATCAAAAACGAAAAGCATTTGTTCTAAAATTGCAGTAGTCTAAAATATAAATTTGCAAAATGAACAAATTTGGCGACCAAACCCGTTAGACATCTTCGGAGTTAGCTTAATTAGTAATTACAATAAAAGTAATATATGGCTCAATTTTCCTCATCAGTAATAGAGATCACAAACTTAAGGCGAAATAAACCAATTAAATAATCGAATTGCACGACATTCATTACGACTAAAATTACATAACATAGAGTAAATGACCTTAGATGTGTGTGTTAGTGTATGCGCACAACAAACGCACATGTGAGTATGTGTATAGCAAAACGGACGTGTGTGTATATGTCCATACCAGGCACATAAGAAACTCGCCCCTCAAATATATCACACCCCAAAACAGTAAACATGACTAGTCGTACTTAATAAGTCCCCATGTAAAATACACCTCATAATGAACACCTAATAACATGAACGATTAAAGACATAACGGATGCAACAACTCAGGTTGATATGAGCCACATCACGTTAAAATATTTATTATCATTCTCTTATTTCATTTTCAAGAAAAAAACTGACGAATGTCATTTGTTCAGTCGACAAATTTTACTTTTAATACAATAATTGTTCATCTTATCCGTCTTATATTCTGATTTTGTGTTAAAGGCAATGTTTTGTTTTGTTTTTCTGACAGAGATGGTATAAATGTTTGAATTTTCGCTGTAACCTTTACTGACTGTTTTCTTTTTGTTTTTACATCTAAAGTGACGTCAAATATCATCGCGAAAGTGAAAAAAAAGTCGTTGAAAAGCAAGTAAACATGTTTTAGTTATTTTGAAGAAAAATGGACTATGTAATGGTGGCTATAATAATAATAACAATAATGCTAAATTATTACTACTATATTAGACGATTTTGTGTTAATCATTATCATTAATACTATGGAGATATAACAACATAACAGTTAGATCAGTGATGCAGACTTTTGTCTTTATTTTGTACAAACAACGCAGGTGAGAGGATAACTTGGCTTGTATGGAGGGCATTTAAGTGATCCACATTTAGCAATAACTTCTAAAAACAATTTTCCGTCATGTCCGTCTAACCCGCCTATTATGTATTCTGGCTGAATATCTACACACACAAAGGAGCTTGCTGCCGTATGTATATAATTACCGGATGCAAGGTACCCATGGTATTCCATTTTCCACACAGAGTAGCAAGTGTTCTTTCCAGGAATCATGATGGCAGATGACGAATGTTTTGGTCTACACAAGGCACATGGTACATCTTCACTTGTAGCTCCACTAGCCAAAAAATCTGAGTCAAATTCTGCACCAAACATTCGACCGAAATCACCACCAGATGTTTTCACAAAATCCGGGTCTGGAGGTAAGCACATATATTCTGCTGCAGCACCTGGTTGATCATAAAAACTACCGCCTGCCCAACCTGTACAATGCAAAAATGTAGGCTTCAAAACTTTCTAAATAAGTAAAAAGTTTCTCCGATATATATACGCTTCAAATGGAAGAATATGTGATGTTTGAAGCAGACGCAGACTTGTATTTGATGTTCTCTTAAAATTACGAAAACGCCATACAATTTGTTGAATGCAATTGGTTCGTCCCTAAACATACAAAGAGTTTTTGTCATTGCTAAAGGCTGTACGGTTTCCTATAATTGCTTATATCCACTTCATTTGAACTCTGGTGGATAGTTTTCTTATTAGCAAGCATTCCATCATCTCCATTTGATTTTGAAAAATTAGTGTATTTATATGGATACTAGTCAACAAATGAAAATATTAATTTTATTTCAATAGCCTTTTTTTACTAGAATATTCATCCACCTGAGATACAAAAAAAAACCAATATTTTAAATTTGATACTTAGATGTAAATATGGAGAGTACAATGTGTTCATCCAATGATTAAATGAAAAGTTTAATATTCATATTTTTTTTGTGAGAAATCACACGCAAAAAATAATCTACGTATAGTTCATATGAATAAGAGGAAATAGATACATATACCAAGGGGGTGATTAAATACAAACTGACCCAAAAAGCTGAAGGATACCAGTCTTAGAATTTAATACAAATTGGTTGAAAGCAGAACGCAAAACTCTTTTACCCTAAACCGTGTACATGTATGTAAAAAAGACAAGCGTCAACAAGCCACATTTAATTGACTTATTCTTTTATATGATAAGTTAAAAAGGTACACCTTATCTGTAAAGAAACCCCAATTACGTGTATATTTTGAGGTTTTGATATTACGTATATGACAATTTAAGTCCCAAATATTACATTGTGTATGTGAAGCAATTGTGTGATAACTAATAAACTTTTTTCAATTTATGTTTAAGTGTAAATTAAAAGTGATTTTGGGAATTTGATCTTTTGTAAATTTGCTTTGAAAATGTAGTTTCTCGATGTGAACCTTGTTTAAATCATTTTCAAGAATTAAAAAAAAAAATTTCAGAGAGTTCGACTGTTTTTTACTGTTTTTCAATACTTACGTATATATAGTAATGTATGCAATGTTTGTATTTAAAAATGGTTATTTAATCTTCAATCCCTGCCAGGTAGCCAGTGCTTCGTTATTGCATATTTTATATGTATTGCAGATGATTCTTGAACATCTTTTCTTTAAAGTTGTAGAACAAATATCCCCTGAATTTATATCACATCAGTATGAGAACCATTTCTTTCCCAAACTCTTTTTATTTTTACTTTTTACAGTATCGTAGCATCATGTGTTTACTTTAAGTTAATGGTTTTCACGACGGTACCTTTCTTTTGTTTGTGCATAATGTATTGCTTTTAGTTAAACATATATTTGTTAACGATTACCTTAAAAGCAAAATGTTCCAAAACACTAATTTTAATTTTGTCATTTTGTATATTCTACTTTTAAAAATTTTCCTAAAAATATAGTTATTAAGCATACCTGAATAAACAAGCTCCGTATCATTACCAGGACATTGTTTCCGCGCCCATCTGATATATGTTGCCCCAGAAGCTATAAAACACAATATAATGGTCCAATGATAATGTTACTCAAATTTCTTATGATAAGAAACACGTATTTTAGGTAATACTAACTATTTTTTAATATGCATAGCAGAAGACGCTTACCCTGCATGCTCACGCACCCGGTCTCGCTCATTTTAGAGATAATGCGATTCCTCAATATTTGGTAAGATACATAGATTTGTCTACCATATATCGAGCTCGAAGGGTAACTGGGGGATAGAAATAACACGTTAAGAACCCTTGGAACAACTCCTAAAGGGGTCCGTAGGTGGCCTGTCGGAAGGAAAAATTCCTTTTCCTATCCAATATACACTCATTTTCAGTGGCACACCAAATATCTCCTACCATCATCCTGGACGAACTCGATTACAGGACCAACTTATTGTATTGATTGTTAATTTGTTCTCCTTCTGAACATGCATGAAATATTGGCCACTGGACGTTAAGCAACCAGCAATCAATCAATTAATCCATATATCGAAATACGTAGTTTCATTCTAGCTTTTTTAAATTCGTGTATTAGTAAAAAAGTATTAAGAAAAATACCGTGCTGCAAGGTATATTCAAAAGTAGAAAGTCCATAAGTACTGACAAAATCAAACGTTAGGCTATATAAACAAACGGAACCAATGAAAAACAACTTTTCATGACTTTGTACAGGTATTTTCCTAAGAAAGTGGAGGGTTAAACCTGGTTTTATAGCTAGCTAAACCTGCCACTTGAAAAAGGCGGAATGTACTTTTGGAATCGATTATATACGCTGTCGCCATATGTTCAGTTGTAGTAGTCGATTACCCTGTCGACATATCAGGTCTCGCTCATTTTTGGAGTTCATGCGACTCCCTCAGATATTTTGTGGTCTACATTTATTTGTATCTTCCTTAGGGATTTAGGTGATTTGATCTACAGTTTACTATTGTTGCCATTAATTTATAACCAATGAGATTCCAAAAAAAATACAGCATAACAACCAGTGGTCTAATGGAGAATTTACAACCGTTAAGTCATATTTTTAAGGGAGAAATGTGCTCTCAGTGGAGTGCAGTGGGACATAGGGATCAATTCCATATATAAGATAACTCAAAATAAATAGCAATACGAATACGCAATATTTCTAAAGTGGACTACACCCTGATATCTAGAAACATTAAGAGTGTCGGCCAAATACATGAAGCCTGTCATGTTGCTAATGAAAGTCTAATGTTGAGTCATAAACAAGGACAAGAGGACCAGCACTTCGATTATGACAGAAGGAACCTATTCGTGTTAAAAATATGCCACATTGATCATCAAAATCGTGATTCCCTATTGAATGTGGTAAAAAAACTATCGATGACATGATTCAAGTTACACATGTATAAATTTTTTTTTTAGTGTTGTGTGTACATGTTTGAGGTTTCTTCATAAGCCCACACAAACATGACTTAATATATGTATAATTTTCTGATAGAAGGAAGACAATCGCAATGCAAAGACACATGTTTAATTTATCGTTTCAAATTGTAAGACAAGTTGAATATACATACATTATATATATACAAGTCTAAATTGAAAACATATATATATATATACAAGTCTAAATTGAAAACAACGTTCAAACCTATGATTGCGTTGTATATATATATATATATATATATATACAAGTCTAAATTGAAAACAACGTTCAAATCTATGATTGCGTTGGATAAAAACCGCAATGTTTATACGTGTCCATGCAAAAAAAATTTCTTGTAAGAGGGGTCTAAAGACAGCACAAGCAACATTTTCCAAAAGACCAAAAAAGTGAAAAAGTATATTTTAACAAAACGCATTTGACTTACAGGTCGAACAACAAATGTTCTTAAACCCTACTGACTGCCATTCTGCGATTGCCAAATAAACTAATCACCGATGTAATAAATGGATCTTAAATATAAAGTTAATACTAAACAGAAAACAATAAACTTGCGGAAAAGATGGTATACCGCAAACAAAAAGTGCAAAGGTTTTCTACACCATATCCGGATTTCGATTAATGTCTCTTCGGTGATGTTAGGAATCGAAACGGTATTTGGAAAGCCTTACAGTTTACCTCAATTTAGGATAGACTCTTGAATTTTGAGGAGTCAAAATAGGATGAACGGACCATATAAACCCGAAGGCAAATATAATACAAGCCCAAACGAAAAAACATAAACAAGTCTAAATTGAAAACGACGTTCAAACCTATGATTGCGATGGATAAAAATCGCAATTTTTATACGTGTGCATGCAAAACAAATTTCTTGTTAGAGGGGTCTAAATACAACACAGGTTGTTTCCCTAGATTTATATATTTTCCTTTATAACAGCTTTGTATTGGTTAATGTGATTTGACGCTAGTAAATTACTGTTGACTCTAACTCACAATGACATCACAAACATGTAGACGTATTTGACCAAAATTGCAATTTATCACATGACTTCTGGAAAATCTGTTATGACAAAATAGTACTTTTAACTCACGACAACAAATCTTAAAAGAAATCTTTTAGGCAGAATCTTGAGAATGGTGCGTTGTCATTACATAGAATCAATTAGAAGATGGCAAAACCATGCAAAGTTGACATTTCTTGTCGTTTTCTTTTTTTAATGAGAAGGACTTTAACTATAAAATAATTTCAAATATATTATTACTTTGTATCCGACAGACTATAGTTGTTTGAACATCTGAAGAATGGCATTTTCTATATTATTCAAGTTTTTTTTTCATTTTCCTTTATGCAAGGGGTCTAAAAAGGAGCTCATTTGTCTCACTTGCAATCATACCGAATCTTCTTAATTTTTATATTATCGCAACTTATACATTGCTGTTGTTTTCGTCTCATAAATTATCAAATGTCTTCTCCCTTCCCACATCCCACATTGGTAGGTAGATCAGAGATATTTTTAATTATTCTTGTGACCAACCAATAAAACTAACATGGAATATTCATCGACATGTTATATAAAAAAAACTAAAACAAAAATAATTCCAAACTTGACATAAGACAACTACATCTGATTTACATAGAAGTAATAAATAATTATTTTATCTTTTTTCTTGTCCTAATAAGAACAATTAGTTTTGATAAAACAGGAATAGTGTCATTATCTCAAATATTTTAAATGCAGTAATCCTTTCAAAAGATGTTTTGTAGTTATGGATTTGGAATAAAGCCTTAATTGTGTCTTTGTTTTGTTGTCTTTAAATTGATACCTTATCACTGATTTTGTACGGCAATATGAAACGCTGTACTAGCTTGTCTTTTCTGGTTTAATTGCCAAAAATCTGAACTTTTTGCTGATAAATGATAAAACTTCTATGTAAATATTCTGGTTAAAGGTACCATTCGATGTTAAATTTTAATGCATTGTTTCAACATTGTCTTTTTGAAGCAATGTGTGGTGATGAATAACACTTTAATTTAATATGGAGTATGGAGTATACAATTCTCAATCCATACGATATTCAAGAGGTTTGAGCTGCTACTCAATCTTCGCTAGCCAAGTGTTACGACCTAGTCCCTCTCTCCACCCTTGGCAGATTAAGCCAACATTTGTGATTACAATGCTGCGCCATCTACCGTCCATTCCGACTACATCATTCTTGACCAATGGCAGCACTTGAAGTCTCTTCAGTGTGGAGTTGTAAGAATGGTTGTGTCTAGCGTTTACAAATTTCGTGACGCAGGAACCAAAAATATAGGTTGACATTCCAACATTTGTGCGAGAAACATACCCAGGAACTCCAATTAGTTGATTAAGAACTTTAAATTTTCACTTAATATCGTCCTATGTTTTGCGAGTAAAGACTTGTTATACAATCAGCACGTGGCAATTGTTTATTTACATTTTCCACATTTACACATGATCATCTTACAGACGCTTTTTGATTGGATGCATCCAGTTACAACTGCGACCAATGAAAATCATTACCTCGAGATTCCGAAATTCTATCTTAATCCGCCAAGAGTGGAGAGAAGGGGACTAGATCATAACCCCTGGCTGGCGAAGATGATGCTACTCAAACAAAGAACGTCTCGTCCTTTTTTCAAAAAGTTCATCGGAAAGTACCACGACCTAATAGATAAATATTCAGTGTCTACTTCGCAAATGATACAAGATGGTCTTTAGTTATGGATTGTAGGTGCTGCATTTGTGTATCTTTTTATTTAACTTTAGTTTCCCCATTATTTATATTATTTATGCTGTTATGTTTATTTTGGTCGTATGACTTTTGACGTGACTCGGTATGTAAACATCCCGCCATCGGGTTTTTGATTTTTTAACTTTATGTATTCCTATGCAGGTGCGTCCTGAGGTTTGATTTGAACACAGAAAGTTCTAACCGTGTTGTTTCTATTTTGTTTATCGTTGCATATATATTTACTTAATTTTTATTTATCTAGAAAGGGTATATACTAAATACGGTTTGTAATATCAACGACAAAAACTTTTTTTGTTGACGCCATTGTCAAATTTACTAAACCATAATTGTTGATGGCGTCTTTGTTAGATTAATTTGTTCATTTGTTTTAATTTTTTAGCCAGTGGTGTTGTATGTCTGTGTCATTTTGGCTGTTGGATCCCAATTATTGTCAAATTAACCTATTGTGTCTGTTTGGGTTGCTCACCAAACTTTGTCAATATAACGGAACCATAAACAACTGTCGTACAAGTGGGATGTTTAGCTAGCTAAAAAAAACAGCTTTACCCTACCATTTTCTTCGGAAAATGCCTGTACCAAGTCGGAAAAATGGCATTTGTTTTTCTCTTGTTCTGATGATTGATAGCGTTTGATTTTGTCAGTTTTTATGGACTTCCCCTTAGAGTTGTTTGTTATACTTTTTTTAATAATGTTGATAAATCAGTAAACTCTGTAATGGTATAATTTCACATCGATATATATAATGTCTGTCTGTTTCGATAATATTAAATACTAGTATTGCATTTATGAATAAAGCATATACAGGGGAAATTGACCATTATGATGCCACTTTTCTGTATACAGGGGAAATTGACCATTATGATGCCACTTTTCTGTATACAGGGGAAATTGACCATTATGATGCCTCTTTTCTGTATACAGGTGAAATTGACCATTATGATGCCACTTTTCTGTATACAGGGGAAATTGACCATTATGATGCCACTTTTCTGTATACAGGGGAAATTGACCATTATGATGCCACTTTTCTGATAACATTTAGTTACATAATATTACTTACATACATGCATAAAAAAAACTATCAAGCGTATTAACAATCCAAAGAAAAAGTCCAAAGACGACATATGTTGTATGTTTCAAAATGTTCTGTGTTGAATTTGATGTATGACAGGGGATACGTAAAGTTTTTTTATTCTCAATATATATGTATATAACTATCATGTCTACCAATATTAATAATTGATCTGCAAATATTAAGACAGTTTTGTGAAATGTAATCGATCAAAGCATAGTATAACGACGACAGCTCCGCTAACCATGGAATAGATTATTGCTTAAGAAGATTTTTTTTATTTATTCCATATGCACTAGACTGAATTTACCATCCCAGAAATGTTCTGATTAAATTTAATCAAGCTTTCATGAACACTAAACAAACCGTAAACATTTGAAAAGATGTTCGTATATGTTCTGTCAAAAAACAAATTATCTACAAATTTAAGTATTAAGAAAACCTTTTAGTGATAAACCGATATTTGATCTACCCAAACATTCATTGTGTTGATTGAAATAGATTTTGTGTAGCGGAATTATGCGATTACA